AGAGGGAGAGGGAGAGGGAGAGGGAGAGGGAGAGGGAGAGGCAGATATCTCTTCCTGAGGGAGAGCTGTGTGGAGGCTTGGAGGGAGGGAAGACTGGATGCCTGAGTCCTGGGGGAGCCCAGGGATGTGATAGGGGTCTATTAACCTACTCCAACTTCCCAGGTTTTATCTGTGTACCCCTTCCTTAAGGATGAACCATTCTCACACTACAAAGTCCTGTGTGCTCATCCTGCTTATGGCCCTACTGTGTGCACAAAGAGGTGAGATGGAAAGTGAGATTGGGGCAGGAGGGTACAATAGAGATGAAAGGGGGTATCATGGTTGTGGGTACACCTACACCTCCATTGTGTGCCCAATACCCTAGGTGTGCTGGGGTCAGGGGATTGGGATTGACTTGTGGTGTGTGAAGCTTCCTGTGCTGGGGTAGTTGCTGGCTGGGTCTGCAATCCTGCCAGAAGGACTGTTGGACTTCACTACCTCTGCCACAAACCCTGGCCACCAGAGCACCCTGTCTTAGACTACACTTCTTCCTTGGCCTCTGAGACAGGACACTGGCCTGTGTGATCACAAACAGGCAGAGGCTTCTTTTCCTGGCCCAGATGCCAAGTCAACGTGTTTGAAATCATTAACACTTAACATTTGATTTTTCTAATGCCCCTGCCCATGCCACATGAGGCCTCAATGCTAGAACTTCCCTACTCTAAGAGGATTCATGCTCACAGATATGCTTATACTTCTAGTTACATCTGTAGTGCGGGAGGACTCATGGTGAGCCTCAGTCATCTTCACCATAGGCAACAGTGAACCAAGAGCCACAGTTGTTCTGTATGCTTGGTCCTGCTGTCTCACCTAGTCATCCCACATGAGAAACCTGCACCCCAAGACAAATTAGAGAGACAGTCACCACATTGGGAAGACTCATGGTGAGTCCAGCTTTAAGCTGGACTCTGGGAAGTTCAGTGCTCTCTCATGCTCAGAGAGCCAAGGCCCAGCTCTGCGGGGTTAGGGTGGGACAGGTCAGAAGAGTCCTCCCCATCTGGTGATCCCAGTACATACATACACACCCACTCAGTGCTTCAGCAGACATTTGATATCTCTGTCTTCCCAATGTGGTGACTGTCTCTCTAATTTGTCTTGGGGTGCAGGTTTCTCATGTGGGCTGTCTAGGTGAGACAGCAGGACCGAGCATACAGAACAACTGTGGCTCTTGGTTCACTGTTGCCTATGGTGAAGATGACTGGGCAGTAATGCCCTTGTTCTGTCCTAGCAGCCAGCAGCTTGAGGGAATAGAGACATTGTATAGGAGGGGTCTGGGCTAGAAAGGGCATGTCCTATCCCTCATGTATTGGCTTCTATCTCAGCTCAGGGGCTGCAGTGCTACAATTGCCTTGGGGTCCCACATGGGGCTTCCTGCTCATCAGTAACAACCTGCCCCTACCCTGATGCATTCTGTGTGACTCAGGAGAAAGAAGTTACTGTGGGTAAGAGAATTATATAAAATGGATCAAGTTGGCTTGGGAGAAAAGGTCAAGTCTGGGCACTTGTTATGGACCATGGTTCCCCTCCCTCCAAGTTGAGCTGTCCTGGGGTTGGAGTGGGACTCCTGCACACTGGGGGATGTTGGGGTCCAGGGATGGGCTGGGATGGGGATCATGAGGCAGGGCTGCCCATTGGCATGCATGGTGTTCATCATCCCCGTGTCACCAGTGTAGTCATGTGATGCTCCTGCCTGTATGTTGTGTCTGAGGTCTCACAGGCTCACTGAAGGACCAGGAGAGCTGGAAGCATTGAGTGAGTCTGGATTTAATGTAGGAATCTGGGGCTTAGGCTAAAGGACTGACTTAGGAATGTTGATAGAAGAGACCCTAGGACATTTCAGATCCTCCAAAGTGCCAGTTTCCAGGCATATCCTCCACATAGACAAGGCAGGAGCAGCCCCACCCTGCTATCCAGTTTCCTGTTCTGACCACAGCCTGCCTGTCTCCTGGAGCAGGTCTCCTGGATATAACTGCCTGGGGAACTCAGGAGTCTGAGAGGCTGGTTGCCCTTTGTGCTGTGCCAGTGGTTGATCTTACACTGTGCTGTGTCTTTGTGGTGTGTGTGTGTGCATGCATGTGTGTGTGTGTGCGTGTGTGTGTAAATGTGTGTGCACATGTATGAATGTATGGAATGTAAGATATGTAATTCTCAGGGGCCATCCTTAAGTACCATTCCTTAGGCATTGTTTACTTTTTATGCAAATGAGCTTTGCTTCCCCTGGAACTGGAATGACAGATGGTTGTAAACCACCACGTGGGGTCTGGGGACCAAACCCTGGGCTTCTGTAAGAACAAGTGCTTGAACTGCTGAGCCAAGTCTCCAGTACCAACCACATTGTTTTTTGAGACAAGATCTTCACTGGGCCCTAGGATTCTTCAAGAATGCTGGGGGTAATGAGGAGGGAGAGTTTCTAGGACCTCCTGATTCTCCCTCCCACCCAGCACAGAGATTATAACCAGCACTTCCTTGCTTGACTGTCTCTTTACATCATTGCTGGGGATTGATCTTGCATCCTTAGGCTTCCACTTCACCGACTGAGCTGCTTCCCAAGCACATTTCATGTAAGGGCACATGTGTGTACAACTGTGGATATACATGCCCTGGGGTGGTACCATGTATGGGACCCAGAAGTTGATGGGTATCTTCTGTGACATCTATTTTATTTACTGAGATTGGTACTCACATGGAACTGCAAGCTTGCAGGTTCAGTTGATCTAGCCCTTGAGCTTACCTCAGAGATCTTCATCTTTTTACCCTAAGCACAGAGATACAAGTAGGCCACCATGCCTGCCCATCTTGTGATGGGCTCTAGTGATCAGAACTGGCAGCTCACGCTTGTCCACACAAGTACTTTATCCACCAAGCCTCCTTACCAGACCATGGTTTGCATTTTCATTTCCTTCGTTACTTGATTTGGTGTCTCTAGCACCAGGATAACCTAGAAGTCCCCATGTACCCCAGTGTGGGATTGAACTCATAAAAATTCTCCTGCCTGAGTCTTCAAAGTTCTGTAATCACAAGTGTGAGCTACCATGTCTGGCTTCAACATGCCTTAGAGACAAGTCTGGTCCATCCAGGCCTGGTGGCATGTGGCCCAGACTTTCAGATGCTCTGTTGTCCCTGCATTAGAACTGAGTCACTCCTTGATGTCTTGCAGGCTTTATCCCAAGCAAAGTAAGGAGCCACCATTGCCTTCCCATTTGCCCTACTGATATTGAAAATGCAATGAAACTCGGTGCTCCTGTCAACTTGAAGACTTCCTGTTGCAAGAAAGACCTCTGCAATGCAGCAGTTCCCACTGGAGGCAGCACCTGGACCATGGCAGGGGTGCTTCTGTTCAGCCTGGGCTCAGTTCTCCTGCAGACCTTGCTGTTATGATCCTTCCGCAGACCTCCACCCGTGGCCTTTTATCCTCCTGTGTAATCCCTCCTTCCTTGATCCCTCTATTGATGAATTATGACTTATAGAATCTCTGAGGTGGGATAGAGTGTGAAATACCTAATTTCAACTTCATAGGCTCTTTATACCTGGGTAGGTTCCCACTCTTCCCTAGGACTTTCAGATCTGTACGTCCTGCAATGCCATTTTGTTGTGGCTTTCTACTCCTGGCCCTGGAGGCACATTGACAGCACAGGGAAGAGGCAGAATTCCAAGGTATTATGTCACCACTGTCCACACATAAATATCTGAGATTCTGCTGGGTTTCCAGGTGTGCCATCCAATGTCCAACCTTTGCCTCCAATAAACCATTCCTTCTAAAAGCCAAGATCTCTGTTTTTCTTTTGCTACACTGAGTTTACCAAGTCCTGCCTGCCAGTCCACATCTCTGCCCTTTCAGCCTGACACATTAGCTACATCCTGTCAGCAAGCTGAGAGTGGGGAATATTTGGTTTGAGTGGGCTGAGAGATTTAATTTCAGATCTGTACTGTGTGCTTTTGTGTGTCATCTTGAAACAGGCTGGAATTATCACAGAAAAAGGAGCCCTCCCTGGTAGAAATGCCTCCATGAGATCCAGCTGTAAAGCATTGTTTCAATTAGTGATCAAGTGGGAAGGCCCACTGTGATTGGTATCATTCCTGGGCTGGTAGTCTTCAGTATTTCTCTGGGGAAAGAAGGATTATATCTGGGTAGGGGGAGACAGACATGGCCCCTAGGCAAATTGGAAACCTTATATTAGCATGAGCTCTTTAATTTTAATTGGGCTACTAATTAGGTAAGCCAAAGGGGACTTTTGATTGCTGGACTTATACTTTGAGAGCTGGACCTTGGTAGTCAGTCTCAGGAGGAAGAAGTGGTTGAGTAAGGAATAGACCTTGGTGTCTAGCTTAGGAATGAAGTCTAACAGTTTTTAGCAAGGCAGAGGGAATGGGAGAAGGAAGAATCCTGCCACAGCAATGTTTGCCATGCTCCAGCTGGCCAGAGTCCCATCTCTAGCCTATGAAGCTAAGTTCACTAAGAGCTGAAAAAGGCTCTGTCAAAGACACCCCAAATATTCCTCTATTCCCCTATCCTGTCAGTTCTGATCAAGAGGTAGTGTGACCCTGGAGGAAGGCTGTAAGATGAAGTTTCTGATGGCTTTATTCTACAAAAGTCTACTCTCCCAAGCCAACCTCGAGCTCAGAGAACAGGGTGTTAAAGAAGGGCCTTCCTTGCCCTTCCTTGGCACTTCTGAAGGACTGTCCCTCTCATGAACCCTGTCCTCTATCACCAAGTCTCTGAGGATTGTTGAGCAGGCCCTAGTGGACAGGGAAAGGGAATGCTGTTGTGTGGATAGATGTGGTGTATGTAAATGGGTATGCGGACTCCGACCCCTGGGCAGCTCTGCCTGCTTCTCTAAGTATGGAGGACAGAGGCTCCAGAGGAGTCAGGAATGCTGGGCAGAACTCAACACCTGACTGTGAGGTGGGGACCTGACCCCTCTGTGTGGATGAGGATTTCTCCCTAGGATACCTTCGAACCTTCCAGCCTCTGGCCAGCAGTGCCATTCCAAGCCACCTATCTCCAGCCTCAGAGTGGAGTGGTCTGGAGGTCACATATAAAACACCTCATCTGAAGCCTGTGCTGAGGCCAGAGAGTCCTAAGTGTCATTATTACACACCCTGATCCTCTCATTTCCTCTCCCACTGAAGATCCCCATAGTTCCCTCTCTCCTCTAAACAACAAGAAATCAAAACTCAAAATCTTAGCTCATCCTCTTCTGTGCAAAACTCTGGAAATCTGAAGCTAGTTCCTGGCCTCCTCCACCTCCACCAATTTACTCTCTCTTCTCTCTTTCTCAGTCATCTTGCAGTCTGTCTGAAGCCTGTGGTGCTCTGCCCATGGTCAGTCCTAAGTAGGACCCAGAATCTGAGCAAGAAGGTGTGGTGGAAGTTCTGCTGAGTGAAAGCTCCTTTCTGAGTAACTCAGGCTCACCAAACACACAAGTCAGAATAAATTTTCCCTAGAGCACTTATGTCCATATTACTCCCAATGGCCCCTGGAGATTCTTATGGGTTGGACAGGAAGGTTATGGCACCCTCCTCTTGTTCACAAGGAGGATCAGTGATTTCAGTGAGTGTAATACCTCTCAGTGTGTTCTTGCTATGGGGAGAATGCCAGATATCATTGACTTGGAAGTTAAAATGTGCTCTGACTGCTATGACAGTTTCTGCAGCTAGGGGTGTGAGTGGCCCCACCTGGAGCCTGGGTTTGAAAGCACTCTCCCAGTGTATCCTGTGGTTCTCAAACTCCTGGGAACCCAGATACCCTGAGAACCAGAGTTCAGAATCAGGTTCCCATCTTCCCCTGTACATGGTGGCCCTCTGAGGACTGCTAGGAGTTGGAAACACCTGCTGATAGCCCATTATTGAGGGGTTGGTGGTGGGGGGTATCCAACAGAGCTCATGGTGAGTACCAGGAGTATGGAGGACCCTTCTGCCTGAGACTTAGGTACAGCTCTTTGTGAGGAAGGCCTCCTACTATGATGCTAATGAAGAGGCTGAGCAGCCTGTGCCAGCCTCAGCACTTCCTCTCACCTCAGCACTTCCTTCACCTCAGCACATCCCCTCTTCTCAGCACTTCATTCACCTCAGGACTCACTCACCCTCACAAAAGTTCTCCTTCACCCCCCCCCTTGCTCCTTCCAGCAGCCACCTGACCCTTCAAAGGAGACACAAACCACATTCCAGTAGCACTCCCTAATGCAAATGCCCTCCCAGAAATAGCAAATGTCAGCCAGTGAGCAGATTAACAGCCACTGCTCCCAGACCCCTTGTCAAAGAGGCTGGCACTCTCTCTGATGGAGAACTAGGCACTCCCCAGCACAGGTGGCTTCTGGCCTTGGAAGAAGTGAAGAAGCACACATCCTTAGAGAGGTTAAGCATCATATTTTGAGACTATGAAGTGTTCCCAGAGAGCTGGGACCTGTTTGTAAAAACATTTACCACTAATAGCAAGTTGAAGACCTAAGGAGCTTCCCTCCCCAATTGCACAACCCTACCCACCTCCTAAACAGATGGAATTGTGTTTCAAGAATGACTTCCCTTATCTGTCATGTAGCCTTGGACCTCTACAACCTGCTTGTGTATAAATTCCTTAAGCCCCCCAATGAAGTATCTCAATCCTGCCCTGTGCAGTGGGAACACATTGTGACCCGAACTTTGGTTTGAATTTATTAAAAGGTTCTTTGCCTCACTGCATGGGATTTGGAAATTCTTTGAGTTCTTCTGGGCATCCTGAAACTCCTTGGTAAAGGAGACAGTCCTTGCTTGTCCAAATTGCTTTATTCATGGCACATAAATATGCATATGGCTTACTCAAAATAAAACACAGATTAAATAGTTTGCATGAAGAAATGCCTAGGGAGAGATGCTTATAGGCCAAACACTCAGAGCCCCTAGATATTTCATTAGCATAGAGACCTCTAGGCTAGTTGTCATGGTTCTCCTAGTCCCCTGTCATGGTCATGTATTCTAGGATAGGAATCTGGTCAAGAGCTAGTCTAAGCTGCTACGGATCTCAATTATCAGTTTTATCTGGATTTTAAACTTTGCTATGCCCTTACCAGTTCTTCTATCAGGTGGCCATATACCAACCCCAGGAGTGCTGGAATGGAACCACACCCTGATGGATGGTACACCCAGAATTCCACATGAGGTGGATGCACTCTCTTATATGATTTAAAATAGCAGGAACAGAGCCCTACAAACTTTAGGTAAACAAACTGACTCCTTGTCACCCCCTCTCCATGTCTGATATTCAATGGCTAATCAGAACACAGTCCTCCACTGCTATCAGCCTCACAGGATTCCTTAGACAAATTGACAACCATTACCCTAAGAGAAAATGGGTATCTGTCCTCCCTCTGTTGCGATGGCTGCCCCCCCCCAGAGCACATAGTTGGAGCCATTCAATATTTACCAATGAGGGAAAGAGGGGAGCTGCATACGTATTATACTACTCCCCTGAGGATGAACCTCCTCATCTCAGATTCAGAGAGCTGCCCCACAGCTCCTCCCAATATAAAGAATTATATGCTGTCTCTCTAGCATATGAAGGAAGTCAAGGGGCCCCTTAACCTCTTTTCAGACAGTATATATGTTGTCAAATTGCTCCCCTACTTGTCAAGATACTTTGTCAAACTAGATGTCAACCCACTTTCTCCTCAACTCACACAGGTTCCACCCTCCTACATGAAAGGGCCTCCCCCATCTACATCCAGCAGGTCAGATCTCACAGTGAACTGCCAGCTCTGATATCTGAGGGAAAAGCTTTCACTGACCAAACCTCCTCAGCAGAAACATTCATAGCCTCCACTGACAAGCAGACCAATTGCATTTGTATATAAACAAATACAAATGGGCTCCATACCCTCTTCACCCATCCTCTGTCCTCAACTCAAGGACAATGAAAACATGGTCCTCTTGTGTATCCCTCACTTCCTCCCCAGCTTTACAGATAGTGGCACCAATAACCAAAGCCCAAAACCAACAACTTATGGCAAATCGATGTCACCCATATTCCCCAAATTTGTAGGTAAAAATATGTTTTTATCACCACATTTACATACTCACATTTTATATGAGCTACAGACCAAACAAAGAAAACTCATACAAATTAATTGACCATATGCTCTCACCTTTGCCATCATGGGCATTACTCAACAGATATAAACTGATAATGGCCCTGTTTTCACTGGCTCTCAATTCAATATTTTCTGCACACATTGGGAAATTGCCCACCATATAAGCATCCCCCACAATCCTCAGGGCCGATGAATAGTAGAAAGAACGCATCAAACCCTAAAAGCTTATCTTCTAAAACAAAAGAAAACAACCTACCACCCCTACCTCAGACTTACTAATAAAGATAAGTATGACTATACCAAACTTATTTAACAGCTACAAAAACTCTAAACATTCTCCTATCTTTCTCTATTGGCACACACCAAAAATGACCACCACCACCCTCATTCTAGAATGATGGCATGGTCCTCTGGATGGAAGTTGGAAAGAACCAGACCCTCTCCTTACAACTGGGAGGTTTTTCATTTGTGTTTTCCCAGAGTAGTTTTTCATTTGTGTTTTCCTACACCTCTCTGAGTTATTGCCAGAAATGTCCAACACCACACCACAAACCAAGAAAATGATATGCCTCTCACTGGAAATCAAGGACTGAGGAGAAGCAGGAGGAAGAGGAGAAAGAGGAGAAGGAAGAGGAAGAGGAGGAGGAGAAGGATGTGGAAGAGGAGCAGGATGTGGAGGAGGAGGAGGAGAGGGAGGAAGAGA